AGCATGACTCAGCTTGGAAACCTCTACCTTTCCCCTCAGCGTGGCTGGCTCAGGAATTCTGGGAGTTGAAGTCCATGAGTCATAAAAGAGCCAAGGTTGCCTACCCCTGCGAGGCTCCCCCCCCTCCTATAAAGCATGTAATCAGGACTGGAACTATATCTTAAATGTAATGCTCTTTTGGATCACCTTAGCCCAAATTTTAATTTCTCACGTGTGCCTCTGGATGCTTCCAAGCAGGAGATGGGAACCAACTTATGTCTTTTTGTGTTCAGACACATGGGGTACCTGGCAACCTGTTGCCACCTGCCTGGAGGCATTTTTGGACTTTGATAGTCCCCTCTTCCATGAATTAAATCCACCTTTAAAGGTAACTTAGAGAGCTGCACTGATCGGCGATCATAAATGCCGGGTGAACTATATGCTCTGTGATGAAGCACATTTTAAATTTTATTCGATCAGTATCATTGGATGACCCCCAGTTCTACAAATAGTTCTCAGCTATAGGGAGCTCCTGGCACACCGGTGTGAGAATCACTGCTCTGACACAATCCAGGTCCCATGTTCTGTGTGGGTGTGCTTTGAGGGAATTTGGCTAGCTTTTAAGTACATTTTTCATGCCTCATGCTTGCAAACCTAGACACATGTGAGAATTAAGTAGGAGTTCAGAAATGCAGGTAGTCCTCAACGTATGACCAAAATTGAGCCCGAAATTTCTGTTCCTGAGACATTGGTTTTGCCCCCATTTTATGACCATTCTTGCCAGAGTTGTTAAGTGAATCACTGCAGATGTTCAGTTAGTAAGATGGTTGTGAAGTGAATCTGGCTTCCACATTGACTTTCCTTGTCAGACGGTTGCGAAAGATGATCACGTGACACCCCAGGATATTGCAACCGTCGTAAATGTGAGTCAGTTTCCAAGCATCTGAATTTTGATCACGTGACCACGGGGAAACTGCAATGGTCATAAGTGTGAAAAACGGTCATAAGTCACTTTTTTCAGTGCCTTTTAACTTCAAATGTTCACTAGTTTTGTCCCCATTTTATGACCATTTTTGCCACAGTTGTTAAGTGAATCGCTGCAAATGTTCAGTTAGATCAGGGGTAGGCAACCTTGGCTCTTTTATGACTCGTTGACTTCAACTCCCAGAATTCCTGAGCCAGCCATGCTGAGGGGAAAGGGAAAGGTTTCCAAGCTGAGCCATGCTGGCTCAGGAATTCTGGGAGTTGAAGTCCACGAGTCATAAAAGAGCCAAGGTTCCTACCCCTGAGTTAGATGGTTGTGAAGTGAATCTGGTTTCCCCATTGACTTTGCTTGTCAGACGGTCGCGAAAGATGATCACGTGACGCCCCAGGATATTGCAACGGTTGTAAATATGAGTCAGTTTCCAAGCGTCTGGATTTTGATCACGTGGCCACAGGGAAGCTGCAATGGTTGTGAGTGTGAAAAACAGACATAAGTCACTTTTTTCAGTGCCGTTCAATGTCACTAGACCATTCTATGTTGAGAACTACCTGCATATTGTGAATTTCAGGTCTTATCAGCCGCAGCAAGAACAGTCCACAACAGGTGATTTGTAGGACGTAGTCTGAAACGTCTGCTAGAGGTCAGATCATCTATCCCTGCAGGAGACAGTTGGCCGAGTTATTGGAATGGGATGAAAAAGCTGATGCAGCTTCTTGAAGGAGGCTTCTGCCTTCCACAAAGCCCGTCTGTGTTTTCATCCTTCAGCTTTAATAACCGTTGTGTGCCAAAATAGCAGCCTTGGCTGTTCCCCAAAGTTGCATTCCAGATCCACGGAAGGCTTACCGAAAGCCCGGAGGCCCTGCCACGGCCTGGCATTCTCAAAGACCAGACTTTGCAAAAATAGTAAATTTAAAATTTCTATTCTTTTTTTTAAAACACAGAGCCAACGTTTGTATTTTTTTTAAATCAAAAGTCAATCATCTTATTGGGGTCAATAGTTCAATAATATTCATGAAATGCAAACATATACTTTAAATTTTTTTCACCTTTAATTTTTTATTTTATCTTTGTAACATAAAATAAGAAAATACAAAAGCAAGTAATAGGGAACAAAGGTAGGAGAAAGGGAAAACGAGAAGTGTGGGAAATGGGGGGAGGGAAGGCTTCCGATTCTCTCTGTTGCCGTAAAATAAGGCATTATTAACATCAAACCTCAACTATTTACATTTCTATAGTATGAACTAGCCATTCCTACATCAACAAATCAGTCTAATCAGTAAAACCCAAAATCAAGGTACCATTTTTTTTCCACCTCAAGCACAAAGAACAGAAGCGGTTTCCAAGTAGAAGCAAAAGTACTTATATTTTTTGCTTTTATCAAAACAGTCAATTTAGCCATCTCTGCTAATAAATTCAAAATTTCTGACAAGAAGCCCCCATAATGCCATTTAAACCTTAGGGCCAAGGGGGACATCTAAAGCCAAGCCAAGAAGCAACAATTACTCAGGTCTTCCAGAAGGAAAAACAGCAGAGGGTTGAGATGTAGGCTATAAAGCAAAATCAGCTTATTACAGATAGTCCTCGAGTTATAATAGTTCATTTAGTGCAGGGGTGTCAAACTGCCGGCCCGCAGGCCAGACACGTCACCGGGAAACCGCGCCCACCCCATTGCCGGCAATGGGGAAAAAGCTCCGATATGTTGCGCGATGTTATGTGACGTCACGAGTTTGACATGTCTGATTTAGTGACTATTCAAAGTTATGGCACAGCAGCTTCCTAGGTTCCCAAGTCACTAGTCCTGTGGATCCCAACGTTACTCTGACACCAATATTATTACAAGTAGTCCGTGACTTACAGCAGTTCATTTAGTGACTGTTCAAACTCACAACAACACTGAAAAAAGTGACTTATGCCCGTTTTTCACACTTAACGACCATTGCAGGATCCCCTTGGTCACATGATTAAAATTCAGATGTTTGGCAATTGACTCATATTTATGACGGTTGCAGCGTCTTAGAATCATGTGATCATCTTTAGCGACCTTCTGACAACCAAAGCCAGATTCACTTAACAGCCATGTTACTAACTTAAAAACTGCAGAGATTCACTTAACAACTGTGGCAAGAAAGGTCGTAAAATGGGGCAAAACTCACTTAACAAATGTCTCGCTTAGCAACAGAAGATTTTGGCTCCGGTGTGGTTGTAAGTTGAGGACGTCTCGTAAATGCATTGCGCCAATACATAAAATTGGTCTAATTTGGTACAGGAATCAAGCTGTACACGTTGAGTCAATTCAACCATCTGTGGCTTTCTCAGACCACAAGAGGACTTGGAACTTCCCTATGGATTTTCCACCTTTCCAGCTTAGTGGAAATCGGTGCCAGCCTGCTGAGAGACGAGCCACGTTGGCATTAAAAGCTTGGCAGAATGCAGGAAGAGTCCCTGGGCCTTGGTTTTTGATGGACCCTTCTATAATTCCAGGCTTTTAGATGTTAACCTTGGTACCTAAATATCTGGGAGATGTCCTCCAAGAAAATGGGGATTTCTGTAAATTAAATCAAAGTTCCAATGCTTTTTTTTTTTTAAACCATTTAGACAAAGATGTTGTCACTAGATCAGGGATAGGCAACCTTGGCTCTTTTATGACTCGTGGACTTCAACTCCCAGAATTCCTGAGTCAGTCATGCATGGCCCTCAGATCTGTCCCACTCCTGTCCAGGCCCCCATAGGCACCCTTGACGCGAATGATGTAGAACTGGCCACGCCCACCCAGTAGGCCACACCCACTCCATCCACGCCCACCCAGTAGGCTGCACCCACTCTGGCCACACCCACCTGGCCCCCCCAGGGCAACCGCAATGCTGATGCAGCCCTCAGTGAAATTGAGTTTGACACCCCTGAATTAGACAATCCCAGAGGTGGCTCCCACTCCTAATGCTGTAAAAGTGTGCACCATATCCTTTTTGTTGTATCACAAGATGCTGCAATGGTCATAAGTGTGGAAAAACAGTCAAAAGTCATTTTTTTCAGTGCCCTTGTAACATCAAACGGTCACTAACCGAATGATTGTAAGTCGAAGATTACCTATATCGTTTTCTACAAACGCAGAGTACCTGAACTCAGTGTGGCTTTTTGGAAGGAAAAGCAACGGAGGGGCGTTGGGTGAATCCTAGCTTAACTGAAGAATCTGTCTCACAAGGTTGGAAGGAAAAGAACACTTCTGAATTTCCCCAGTTGGCATTGAGCTTTTTCAAGTAATTTAAATCTTCACGGGGTTGAAGGAAAAGTCTTCATCGTGGTTCAGTCCAAGCTGGGGATAAACAACATGGCGACTGCTTTAGAAAGAAAGTTGCAGTTTATTGAAGAGGAAAGCCAGACAGAAAGATGGCTCTGGAAGAAAAGAGAGTGAGCACATGTAGGGAGTGGGTTTTTATACCCTCTGGAGCCTTTTGTTTGGAGTTGTTCCTGTGGCATGAACGTTGACCTGAGTCTGAGTGTGCCTTTCTGGTATTCTGATGGTGATGGGTTAATCCTAATGTCCCAAGGGTCATATCTTACTTCCCTGTAGCTGTGGCTGATGACTCTTAGATTTTTGGTGTTGATTCTAGGGATCTTTCTTCCTAATCCCAGTTTCCTGACTCCAGTCTTTCTGACAAGATTATCATCTGCATTTTGCAAACTTGGTTTCTGTTTGGGACAGAGAGACTTGGGGGGGGGTTGGTTTCTGCCTTTAAAATCCTTTAGGGAAATATATTCTGCCTTTTAAATATTTTCAAAAATATTTCTTTCTGGGGGGGGGGAGACTGACTTCCCACAACAGTAAAAGCAATTAAACAGTTTAGTTTAACCTCCTGCCCTCTAAATAGCAAAGGCTTTGATATATTTGGGGAATTTTTCTAAGCTTGCCCTCCTGGGCTTGATAAAGCAAGAAATGATGGACAGATCTAAAAACAATGCTTTGTTTCTCTCTCTCTCTCTTGTTTTCTCATTTTGAATTCCTTTTCTAACTCCTCTGTTGCCGGTTGCAGGCAAACTCCTGGTCCTGACTGCAGCCACAGAGAAAACAGAGGGCTACCAGCGCTTTCTACGAACCACCAAATATTTCAACTACACTGTCAAGGTGCGTACTTTCTATCCTATTGGGAAAAAAAGAGAAGGTGGGGTGGCTGGGAACATAGCCAAATAGAAGGATTAACCTGACCTCTGCTTTTCCTGCCTTTTTTGCAACATGTAGGGTACTTTTGCAGAACAGGTCAAAGAAAGCTAGCCTAGGATCCACAGCAGCTGAGAATTCTGGGAGTGGTAGTCCTGAAAGGTCAAGGCCACCTTTGTAGTGTTTTCAGGCTTGCCACATTAGGGTGGGGTCACTCATGAATCTTGACCGACAAGAGAAGACAACACACAGGCTCTCTTCTGGACGAGTGAACCAAGGGCGTATCCTGTGTTCCTCTTTTATTTTGTAACATACATGAGGAAGTGTGCAGGTGTCAATATAATTGGTTACATGTATAGGAAATAAGTACATGCTATCATATAATTGGTTACATACTTGTTGCAGGGCAGAAAACTAAGTATGTTAACATACAGTTGGTTCTACTTTCCTACATAGCGTCCTAGCATATAATTGGCTGATGCTTTCTATAGGATGTGGTTTTCTCTCATGTCCGGAGTTATCCGGACAGGCTCTGTGGCTAGCGTTTCTGCGTAGACAGCAGGTGTTCAAGCACAGCAAAGGATGTGGTTATATGATAGGATGTGCACATTCACATATTCAATGCAGCTATGCTAGTTTCTTATACATTGTCAGGTTCTGACAATAAATCTACATTTAATGCAAAGCAAAGTTACTTGACCATTACAGAAAATCCCAACACACCTTAAGCATAGAAGGGTTTAATTTTCCAGAATGGAGGAAAATGCAGTATTTTTGGAGAAGCCATTGGGTAACCTGTCTTGTCCCTGAGCAGGAGCATCTGAATTTCAAGCTAGAAGAGCAATTTTAAAAAAATAATTATATCTAAGAAAATAATAGAATAACAGAATTGGAAGGATTATTTGAGGTCTTCTAATCCAGGGGTAGGTAACCTTGGCTCTTTTATGACTCGTGGACTTCAACTCCCAGAATTCCTGAGCCAGCATGGCTGGCTCAGGAATTCTGGAAGTTGAAGTCCACGAGTCATAAAAGAGCCAAGGTTGCCTACCCCTGTTCTAGTCCAGCCTCTTGCTATTACATACAAGTGATTGTCCAATCTCTTCTTAAAAACCTCCAGTGTTGGAGCATCCACAACTTCTGGAGGCAAGTTGTTCCACTGATTAATTGTCCTCATTGTCAGGAAATTTTTCCTCAGTTCTTGGTTGCTTCTCTCCTTGATTAGTTTCCATCCGTTGCTTCTTGTGCTGCCTTCAATTGCTTTGGAGAATAGGTTGACTTCCTTGTGGCAGCCGATCCCTCAACTGTCTCACCAGTTTTGCTAATATTTCTTCAAGACTTTAGGGCTCGGTGAAGATTGGAAAGGAGGTGATGTTGCCCGGACGGTCGGTGGAGGTCAGAAGGTCCGATGGCTGAAGGCTGAAATGAAGAAATACGCAAACGAAGAGGACCTTATTGTCATGTTTGTGGACAGGTTAGGCTGATCAGTTTGGGGCTGGATCCATAAGAAGAGAGTGTGCAAGATGGCCAAATCTGGCTCTAGGTTCTGCCTTGGCTTCCTTTTTCCAATCAGCAACCTAGTCAGATCATTTAAAAACAATTTATTAGAGTATTCTGATAATGTGGCACCTCCCTATGAAAAGGGGAACTTGGAAAAATGCTTTACATTTACTTTAACAGGTAGAACAACAAAGAACTTCAAAATAAATATTAAGCGGTTTAGAATTAACCATGTAGAATTAACCATGTGTCCAGTTATATCATAAAAATTAAAGCATCTGATAATACATGAGCATAGCCCTAGAAAAGAGCATTATATTTTGAATAAAAGTAAAAGAAACATTTGTAAAGGAAAAACAACAGAATGGGTATGGGTTAGATCCCTTCTCAGCACTTCCCAAGTTTGGGCGTGAATATTTGCTTTGTTCATGCAAGTTTAAAAACAACTAAAAATGAAACTTTCATTTGCAACACATCAAATACTCCCTTGTCAGTCCTGGTCTCTAAGAGGGAGGCTTTTCTTGAAGGTTACGGCTTATTATGGCAAATTATTAGCGATACATTTGAAAAAGCACATTTAAAACATCAGAAAACCTATGCTGGTCAGCCAGTGCAACAGTATACTAAAACCACACTGCAAGGATTACACAATCCATCCTGTGTGGATCTCAAGCTACAGCTTGCAAATTGAACCTGGCCCAGGGTGGATTCTCCATCTGCCTATTCCAGGGGTAGGCAACCTTGGCTCTTTTATGACTGGTGGACTTCAACTCCCAGAATTCCTAAGCCAGCCATGCTGAGGGGAAAGGGAGAGGTTTCCAAGCTGAGCCATGCTGGCTCAGGAATTCTGGGAGTTGAAGTCCACCAGTCATAAAAGAGCCAAGGTTGCCTACCCCTGGCCTATTCCATCCATCCCCACAGTTTATAGAGAGGAAAACCATTGTTTCAAGGACTAACTGAGAACTCACCTTCTTTCCATCGCAGCTATGATGTGATCCTGGCCGGAAGTCCGATTGAACTTCTTTGGAAGTTCCTCCAGTTTAAGAGCAATCTGGTCTTCTCAGCAGAAATGTTTTGCTGGCCGGAGTGGTCCCTGGCTGAAAAGTATCCCCCGGTCACTTTTGGAAAGCGCTTCTTAAACTCTGGAGGTAAAAGGCTCGGGATGGCACGGAGTGACGGTGGAATCAGGGTAACTCCCAACTCCTTACAAGAAGAGCCTGTTTTGCGCCAATACGGATGTGGTGGGATTTCAATTCTGGGACCGAGGGACACGTTTTGAAACAGTACAAGTAGCCCTCAACTGGGAATTCTTGGGAGTTGATGTTCACCCCTCTTAAAATGGCCAAGGTTAAGAAACCCTAGATTAAAACTTTGATACTTTGCTGCCCATTTCTCTCTGCCAACCAAACACAGGAGACCCTGTACAGGTAGTCCTCGACTTACAACAACAATTGAGCCCAACATTTCGGTTGCTAAGCGAGACGGTGGTTAAGTTGCCCCATTTTACAACCTTTCTTGCCACGGTTGTTAAGTGAAGCACTCCAGATGTTATATTAGTACCACGTTTGTTAAGTGAATCTGGCTTCTCCATGGACTTTTTTTTTGTCAGAATGTTGCAATATATATATCATAAAGGTAAAAAAGGATATATGCAGTGTTATCTTCATTTTAGATGTCAAAAGGGTCTCTCTCTCTCTCCCTCCCTCTCCCTCTCTCTCTTTCTGCCCTTGGTCTGCCAGTCCTCTTCCCCCACTCAGTGTGTGTGTGTAAGAGAGAGAGGGAGGCACTTGTGCTTCCCCCCTCTCTCTCTTACTCACTCTCTCTCTTCTCCCTCTCTCTCTCTTTCCTCTCTCTCTCTTCCTTTCCCTCTCTCTCTTTCTCTCTCCCCCCCTCTCTCCGATCTTCTGCTCACCTGGCAAGCTGGCCTCAAGCTGTTCTGCAACAGGCTGGCTCTCTCCTCCCCTTCCTGCTTCCTGCTTCCTGCTTCCTGCAGAGACGCAGAAAAGGGAGGAGCCCCTCCCAATAAGCTTGTCAGCTCTTCGAACAGGGTGAGGCCACTCTCTTTTTTTACACACACACACACAGAGAAGAGAAGCGCAAGTGCTTCTCTCTGTCTCTGTCTCTCTCTCTGCAAATGGCAGAGGAGGCTGGGAGCCACAGGAGAAGGCTCAAAGAGCCACATGCGGCTACGGAGCCACAGGTTGACGACCTCTGATCTATAACGACTTTAGCAAGAACTTGGGGAAAGTGGATGGGATGAACATCAGTTGGCCATCGCTGTGGAAGTCCAAGCAGAGGATACAACGATGGAAACTATAGTTTGATTCTTGCAACTCCTTGCAGGTAGTCCTCATTTAGCAACAGCCTCATTTAGCAACCATGCACAGTTACAAGGGTGATGGACAGTAATCTTGCCACCGATCCTCGCATTTGTAACTTTTGCAGAGTCTGTGAAACAAAGGAAAGCTGAAATCAGATTACAAGAACAGTTGCTGTTTCACATAACAACTACTTTGTTTAACGACTAAAGTGCCAATCCCAATTGCAGTTGCAAAATGAGGACTTTCTGTAAATCAAAATCAAAGAAAACATTTGTGTGTGAACCAGCTTCTTAGAAGACCTTGGAGGTTCGTTCTGCTTCTCTTACAATTCCTGCCATCATTTTTCAAGCTGAGGCCAGCTTTTCACCCTCTGGAGACTGGCAAGATTGTATAGGCAGCCATATGGTCTAGAAACTTGTATTTACTCTTCTTTTTTTAAGCAGAGCACACCAAAGTGTTCATCTGCAGATTATGGGCTGGTGTAGCATGGATAGAGAATGCAGAATGCCCTGGAGAATTCCTTAGCTCTGATTTCCTTTGGTGTCTATCAAAAAAGGCAATTTTCATGTCTTGGCTTGTCATGGACAGGACAGGGTAATCACCATTTTGATAGATCACAAGTAATTCTAGATCAGGTGAAATGGCACCTGATGATTTACAGAGCTGGCAGTTTTGTGAGCTAAATTCCAATTCTTCTCCAAAGTATAGTATTTTATAACCCCTTGTTTAAGATTTAAAAAAAAACGTTTTAAACGTTTCTAGTCCTTAACACTACCCTGTTATGCAGCACCTAAAAGCACATTGCATTTCTGCTTTCCAGGATTCATTGGCTATGCTCCGGTGATCAACCGGATTGTCCAGCTGTGGAAGTACAAGGATGATGATGATGACCAGCTGTTTTACACACGCATTTACTTGGATCCTGCCTTGCGTGTGAGTCCTGGGAGAAACTCACATGTGGTTTTTGTAGCCATTTCTCACAGTTACAGTCTGCCTCTGTTAAAAAATATTTGGGTTTCACTCCCCACTCACTAAAATGGCTTATGCAACTCCGGCATTGTCACTCCAACAACGCTGTTCACACAGAGGGCTTTACTGCATCTGTGTACAGACTGGAGCTTGCTTAAAACTGTCCTGGCCTTGCTTAAAATTAAGCCAAGCCTGGTTAATTTCCTTCCTTTTCCCCTCTAACCTCCAGCATATTGAGTAGAAGAGAAAGAGTGACTGGGGAAAAGGGCCGTTCTAGGATATAACTCATTGCCAAAGCAATATAGATCGCCCTGCCTACATTTTGGTCAACTGCAGGGGCTGAGCCATGTTTACTGTTACCTTCCCTGGCCAATAGGGAAGAAGGTAGTGATGTCATGAAGTCTTGCCAGTAATCTGGCGTATGGGGATTCATGGGATATCCAATTCCTGCAAGAGGGGAAGGGAACTCTGTTAGGACCAGTTGCTTAGCAACTATTTGAAATTACGATGGAGCTCCCCAGAGTACTTATGACCCAGTTCCAAAGTTTCAGTGGCTTTCACACACACACACACACACACACACACACACTCTCTCTCTCTCTCTCTCTCTCTCTCTCACATGACCAGATTTCAGGCACTTTAATGGCTGTTCGCAAGGTCCTATGGCCACATAGAAGAGAATTCTTTATTGGCCAAGAATAATTGGACGCACAAAGAATTTGTCTCCGGTGCATAAGTGTACAGGAGTATCAGTGTACATACAAGCAGCAAGTGATAAATCATGATCATAGTCGTTGTAAAAATAAATTCATCATAAATCATAAGATACCACACTTAGTGATAGTCATGGGATACTAAATATGCAATCAACATAAATATACTAGGATACTAAATAAAACAATAAAAATCATAAGATACAAGCAGCAAAGTTATAGTCATATGGAGATAAGGAAATAGGTAATAGGAAAAATGAGAAGAATAATGATAATACAGGCTTACTAGCTAGTTTGACAGCAGAGTGATGGCATGGGAGAAAAAAACTGTCCTTGTGTCCAGTTGTTCTGGCATGCAATGCCCTATAGCATGGCCATATTTTAACATGACCATATTTTAACAATGTTTTTGGCAAAAAAACTGGCATTTACTTCTTGTTATTTAGCAAAACTTGTCCATAACGAACAATTAATTTGCTTAACAATCACCATAAAAAAGGTCATAAAAATCAGGTTGGTCACATGGGTGACTTGCTTTATAACTGTCACGACTTATGGCCATAATGGGCAGACTCCATTATGGTTGTAAGTTGAGGACTTCCTGTATTCCCC